ATTGCTCCCAGCAATGTAGCATATCGTGCCCTTCCCCCACCTCCAAGTTCACCAGTTATAAATCTGGAGATGATGCCTTTCAGAGAACAATCCTGCACAAGGAAATTGTGGGATGTTTGACAGGGAGACAAACACACACACACACACACACACACAGGTTTGTTCACTCTTGACCAAATATTTCTTGAGCACTATTATGTTCAGGATAGCAACAGTTTAAAAGTGGAGTCATGTTTGGTGAATGCCATTGCCTTTAATGCGTGCTATTGGCACAGATAGTGAAGGAAATCTTATGACATCTTGGCTGTTTCCAGGGTTGGCAGTTCTGTGACTACAGTTCTGAGAGTAATTATGCAACAGATAATGAAGTAAGAGAAAATGGAAGTTAAGGAAAGAAAGAGCAAAACTGAAAGAATTAAACAGAAATTCTAAAGGAAAGAAAGAGCTGAAAATTTACATTCCTAGAATGTGAGGAAAAATTTGTAAAGGGAGAACTTTTGAAAATATCCCAAGATGATGTATAACATGCTTGTTGAGTTAATAAAGTTACAGGCCAGCGCTGTGGTGTAGCAGGTGAAGCCGCCGCCTGCAGTTCCCGCATCCCATATGGGCGCTGGTTGGAGTTCTGGCTGCTGTACTTCTGATCCAGCTCTCTGCTATGGCCTGGGAAAGCAATGTACAAGTGCTTGGGCCCCTGCATACATGTGGGAGAACCGAAAGAAGCTCCTAGCTTCAGATCAGCCCAGCTCTGGTTGTTGTGGCCATTTAGGGAGTGAACCAACAGGTGGAATACTCTCTCTCTCTCTCTCTCTCTCTCTGTCTCTTTCTCTGCCTCTACCTCTCAAATAAAATAAATAAATATTCAAAAAAAATAAAGTTGATATGCTCACAAATTTTACATTCTGGGGGAAGAGTAGACAGTTGATGTAGCAGTTAAGATACCATTGAGACACTCACACCCCATATCAGAGTGTCTGGGTTTGAGTCCTGGCTCAGCTTATGATTGCAGCTTACTGTTAATGTGCACCCTGGGAGGCAGTGGAGACCATTAAAATGCTTGGACCGTTGCCAGCTATGAGTGAGTTTGATGGCTTTGACTTCAGCTTGACCCATTTTCAGCTGTTGCTCTCATTTGTGGTATGAACCAGTGGATGGAAGATCTCTTTCTGTCTGTCTCATCTGTATTCCTGTCTTTCTTTATCCCCTTGTCTCTACCTTTCAACAAAATTAATCAATTAATTAAAACAAAAGGATTATGCTAAGTATCAGTGCTTGTCCTCAGTGATTAAGGTCATATGACATGTGAGTCTCATATGAGAGGTTCTGAGTTTCAGTCCCAGCTTTATTTCTGCTTCCAGCTCCTGCTAATGCACACACTGGGGAGGCAGCAGGTGTTGACTCAAGTAGTTGGGTCACTCTCACCCACATGGGTGACCTGAATTGGATTCCAGCTCCTGGCTTTGGCTTGGCTCAGCTTTGGCCATTTTGAGCAGTGTCTCTGTCTCTCAAATAAAGCAAACAAATAAACAAAAATTATTAAAAGAAAAAAATTACAACGATAATGGGCATTTGCCCAGTGACTAAACTGCAATTCAGGATGCACATGTCCCATTTCTGAGTGTCTGGAAATGATGCCACCTCCATGCCTAACTCCAGCTTCCTGCTAATACAGAGCCTGGGAGGCATCTGCTTGACTCAGGTAATTCAACATCTACCACCCATGTGGGAGGCCTGAATTAAGTTCCTGGATCCTGGCTTTGCCCTCCAGTTCAGTTGTTTTGGGTATTTGTGGAATGATCCAGTAGATGCGAGCTCACTCTCTCTCTCTTGCTCACTGTACCTCAAATGAATAAATACTTGAAAAGATATATAGTGATTAAACTTTCCAGATTTTCCAATTTTTTTATCTGTAATCACTTTGACTTCAGGACTGAGTTGATCTATGGATGTCCAACTCTAGTTTATAGTCCTATGAGTAGCTCTGTAAATTTCCATTTTTACAAACATGTATATATGTATGCATTATCTCATTGATGCTGTAATTTTAACTTCATTATAGTTTTCTCTTTAATAATTTTAAAGAAGACTCTATTTACTTTTCTACTTTAATTCAAAATTTTCTGACATAAATATTGTAATGACTAATTTTTCAGGTCTGTGTTTGTCCAAATTATGTTGGTGATAAGCTTAATTTTAACTTTTAGAATTGCTTAGTTTTTGATGTGATCTCTGAAGTAAACTTTATATTTACTTTTCAAACTGAGTACTAATTAGTCTTAATTAATTAATAAGCAGTATTAATTACTTTATTATTAAAAATTCAACATATATAATGCAAATTCATTTGTTCCCTTTTCTTGATTTTATTGTCATAATCTTGGGGTTAGTCTTTTCTGTCAATGATAATTAAGCATTTATTTTTATAAAAATCCATTCTGTTTTAGAACTATAATATTAGTTATTTAAAACTGGTTCTGTTTCTAAATTCATTGACTTCTCTAAATTACTTCATAATTTGTATTTTTATTCTTCAGATATAGTTACATATTGATTGGTTTTACTTTTCCAATTTTTAGGGACCAAAATATTCATTGATTCACAGTAATCTAGATTTTTGTTTCTATCTTCATCATTCCTGAATTACAACTTGCCTTAGGAGAGAATCAGTCATTCTCAATTGTTGGGTCTTTGTGAATCTGCATACCCTGCTTCCTTGGGTCGGTATCTAGTGCTTCTAAGGAGAAGGGGTGACTTCAGTTTCATTTTTCTAGGTTTCCAAATTGTGCTGAAATGGGCTTCTGAAATTTTTGGCAATTCTTTTTCAATCTTCAGTTCAATAACTTTATTAAGTCAACCAATCAATATTTTTCTATAGCTGTTTATCTCTTTGCTTTCTACTTTTCTCAGATTGAGGTGAGTCCTCCTTAGTAGCATTCAGCTCTAGAAAGGCTACTTAAAATTCGAATTTGTTGTTCTTGCTATTTCTCTTGGTAAGGAACAGCAATCTCTATGCTGGATTTACATTAGTTATCAAAATCATAGTTTTGGTTTTAATGTTGTTAATTAATTATTATTTTTCCTCCAAATCAGATCTGATTTCCTCAGATGAGTTCCCAATGGCTGTGGTTTGTTTTGATGTTCTAAGTCTACTATTACTGTTGCTGGTCATGTTCGCAAATCATAAAATTGCATTTCCATCTTAATTTCTTTCATAAATTTTTCTTTGTATGCCTTCATTTACTTTATTACTCATTTTAGAGTACATTTTTAGGAATTACTGAGAGAGTAAGTAGTTCTGGCCTGATGTTTCATTTTGTTTCTATTGCAATACATCCAACACACTGTATCACCATAGTATTTGACACTTCCCCACCGCTCCATTCTTTGCTACACTTGCAAAGGAGTGATGTATGATTCATTTTGCTGTTGTGCTCTTCATTTAGTTTATTGATCTTCCAAGAGGTGAAGTTGTGTCTGTGCCTACTCTCTTTTTTTCTTAAGCATTTATTTATTGCCATCTACTTGAAAAACAGAAAGACAGAGAGAAAGATCTTCCTCTGGTTCACTCCAGGTTGGAGCTAGGAGCCCAGGACTCTATCCAGGTCTTGCATGTGGGTTGCAGGGGTCCAAACACTTCAGTAATCATCTGCTGCCTCGAAGGAAGCATTAGCAGGAAACTAGATTTGAAGTGGAAGAGCTAGGACTCAAATTTATACTCTGATAGGGGATGAAGGCATCCAAGGCAGCCACTTAATCCATTGAACCATAGCATGCTCACCTCTTTGCCTAATCTTTGACCAAAAATCAATGATTAAAATTGCCTTATAATTTTCCTTGGGTATGTAAACAGATTTTGATATTTTTCACAGTGATAATTCTCAGTGACAATACTTTGTATATTGTGTCCTGTGCTTGCAATGCCTTGAGTTTGTAACACACTAGGAAACTTACATGCTAGGAAATATCCTTTCAAAATAATCATCACAGCCTTTATGTAAATTTTACAGCAATTCTTTACTGTAGGTTCAGTTAATTTAAGGCACATTGTATCCCATTCTGAGAACCCTCTGATTATGGTTTAACCTTTATTAGCACTTCTCATGGAATTTATCTTCTCACAAGACTTGTGTCCTGGTTCAGAAATTCTTTCCCTGATGCTCTGTTTTAGGTATTAATTTATAGGTGACAGAACTGTCAACAAAATCCTAGGCCACTTCCATTGTTCTTTAGAAGCAAACAAACAAGGGAAAGTGTTTGGCTGAGAGGTTAACACACCTTTCAGAATGCCTGCACCTGACATCAAAGTGCCTGGCTTCCAGTCCCAGCTCAGCTCCTGATAGCATGAGTTTCTTGCTCATGCACACACTTGGAGGCAGTGGGTGAGGGCTCGAGTAATTGGGTCCCTGCCATCCGTATGGGAGACTTATATTGAGTTCCTTCCTGGATTCAGCTTGGCTTAACTCTGGCTACTGTAGTTATTTGGATTGTGGACAAGTGGATGGTAGTATGTGTTTTTCTCTTTCTCTCTCTCTCTCTCTGTCTCCCTCCTCCTGCCTTCCCTCCCTCCCAAAGGAATAAAATGGTTACCTATATTTTAAAAATTATTTTATTTAAAAAAGATTTATTTATTTTTTGAAAGGCAGAATTACAGAGACAGAGAAGGAGAGACAGATATTCTCTCTGCTGGTTCATGCCCCAAATGGTCAGAATAGCCCGGGCTGGGCCAGGCTGAAGCCAGGAGCCAGGAGCTTCATCCAGGTCTCATTGGGTGAAATGGCCCATGTACTTGCATCAACATCCACTGCTTTCCCAGGCAAATTAGCAGGGAGGTGGATCAGAAGTGGAACAGCTGAAACTCAAATGAGGACATCTTTGAAATGAAGGCATTATAGGCAGTGGCTTAACACACTATACCACAATGCTGGCCACTGATATCTACACTTAAAAAAAAAAAAAAAAAGCAAACAAGCTAATTAACATATATTCCTTTCTCCTTCTAGCTGAAGCATTCTACTCATTGAACAACATCTCTTCATGCCATTCACTCTCCAGTCTGGATCCAATCATTCTACATTGTTTGCCTATATTATAGCATAACTTTATAGCATAAAAATATATATGTATATATGCGTGTGTGGACATCTGCATGCATATTTATACTTCGTCTTTATTGAAAAAATAAAATATGTAATGTTATTATCATAAATAGAACAACCCAACAAAAATAACAGAATGAATTTCAAATCAGTGAAGGAGATAAACACCTGTCATGGCTAATTTATTTACCCTTTTTTTTTTCTATTTTCAACAAAATGTCAAAGAACATTCAGATATTACCAAAATGTTTTCATCCTTCTGTGTCAGAAAAGCACTGTACTTTCTCCCAACATAAGTACATCATACAGTGAGGTAACAAAGTTGAATGGGAACAGAGTAGAAAGTTATTTTCTCTAACTAGGCAAAGGCTTCAAGTGCGGGGATGTGTCTTCATCATTTTGTAATATTATATGATTTAGAATTATTAATTATGGAAATACAACCATACATAGATCTCTTAATTTTATCTGGACTAATTTCAGTAGTAGTCAGTAGTATTTCTATACTCTACTATATACTGGGTATATTAAACACTATACTCCATTGTATAGTACCAATATAAAGAGCAAATTCAGATACCTTTCAAAAAAGATTATTCAAACAAATTGGAAACCATAATTCACTGTGATAATAAAATGAGATTTATCACTCATAAAGGTAATAGCATTATGCTTTTGATTATAATATAAATTAAAAATGTTATCTCAAAAACTAAAAAAGGAAGAGAAAGGGGAAGGGAGGCAAGGGAATATCATCATCTTAGAATTGTATCAATAAGAAAGTAAACAAATCGAGATAAAATTTTTAGAAGTCACATTTATCTATTTATTATTATTTTCTGAGAAAGTAAGTTACCATTATGTAGTATGGAGTGTGAGAGGACTTTATGTACAATTGGACCAAGTGTATTTTGGAACAGAGATGGAGTAGGCAATGATCAAATTACAAGCTGTAACTTTTCACAGAGAAAAATAAGAGATTGAGAGGCAAATGAGGTTTTAGAAAGGAGATCTCGCCAATGTCACATTTTACCTGAGGTTCTTGTAGTAAATATTCAGGTTTCAAATTTGATTCATGAATATCAATGCAATACAGTCTTTAATATGAAGACTGCAGATCATCAAATTATCACAGTTGAGAGAATTAAAGGTGTGCATGTGAAATTCAGTAGTCTTAAGGTTCATAGCCATTTCATTGCCCCTTATGAAGGAAAATAAAGTGCTAAAGTGAACTGTAAACAGACAGATTTTAAATAACCAATCACAATTGTTTATTTTTACTAATGACCATTGTAAGAAAATCCAAAAACTCAGAAATATTTTGTGGAAATAAAGTAAGACAAAGTTGGTTTCCAGGCACAGAATTGGAAGAATGGTCTGCCCAGTGAAACCTGTGCCTGGGTTGTGATTGAGAGAACTGTCAGAAATGAAAATTTACAATGTGTAAATCAACAAATATATGAGCATTTTTACAGCAGTAATAGAAAGCTAATATACTTGATGAAAAACTTCTCAATGAGTATCCAATGAATATCCAGATGTGATTCTTCCACTCAAACACAAAAAGATATGAAAAGAACAAAGCCCTATCTTGTAGGCATTTCAGACCTCTGCCATTCCCTGATCCTCCTCTGCCTTCAACTATTTTTCTCAGGAGGTTTTAGGGTGAGAAATTAAAAATCCACAGTTGCTGGGAAGAGGAAAATGGCAGGCCCCGGCTCCATGCAGATGACTTCAGGGGGCAGGGCATCCAATGGGGCCAGATCAGAGGACACAGATATTTCAGTCCTAGGACTGCTTCTGGGTCTGCCACCAATAGACAGCTTGTCTTAGAAGAGACACATTCATGCGGTAAAATTCTTGTGAACACCTGCCAATATGTATTGGCACATATTTTTCCTTTTCATAAGATTTGCTGTGCAGGTACAAAGATAGCTCATCTCCAGGCCTCATTCCTTCAAGGTAGGAAGCTAGATATGAGATATGTTTTTGATGTATATTTTGGCAGGATGGTGTTTTTTCTGGCTCTTTTATGACTGCTGATAACAGTAAAAGATCTATCCCTGCTGTAGCTGGGCCCTGTTGCCAGCCCTTACCCCACTAAAGCACAAGATAGATGTTTTTAGTATACTTCATATTCTAGGAAATATCTGACAACTTCACCCCTTGATTTTTTAATAGAAAAAATTAAATATTTATCTAAAGAGTCTCTTCATTTTATTTTTGTTTTGTATTTCAAATAGAATATACCATTTAATGTCTGAATTTATAATATAGTACATTTCTATATTTCCTTATAAATCATATGTTCTTATTTTTGTTCTTGCTATTAAGTGAGTAGAAGGTAAGGATATTTTTAAATGAAATTTTAAACCACTATCTCTTCCAGAAATTCAAGAAAGTTCATCAAATTGATTGTTCCTATAGAAGAAAAAAGCAAACCAACTCCTTCTGTACTGATGGTTATAATTTCCCAAATTATCTGAACCTTCCACTATTTTCATGGGGAAAGGGAAAAATAGATGGATGAGTGGATATCCATGTGTCAGTACAGAAAATCTAATTGGGTCAACACAGTAACTTATGTGAACAAACATTTAAGTAGGAGAATAAAATTTAAAGATGGATGGAATGATGAAATTGCTACATATCTTAATTATGATGTATTTAAAGATTGACAGAGATACATGCATACTTTAATCACACAATAAACAACTAAAATTGAGGTATTTTTGTGTTTTCTGCCATTTAGTCACACTGAGCATTTAACAATATATTTCAGGAAATATTCTCTTAATGTAAAAAATTTACCTAAAACACTGTAAAACATTTCTGTTTCTACAGATAAGATCATGTTACAGGTATATATAGACAAATACGGAGTATCTTGAGTATTGTCTTGAAATCTTCTGGTAGGAATGTTCTTGCCCCTGACATAGTTCAATACAATTCTAATATATGTTGATGTATAATAAACACCATACCAAAAAAAAAGTTCAATACAATAGTTGCATTTCTGAAAACAGAAGAGAGATTATTTTCATCAGGTTTCATTGGTGATTAGTGTTGAACATGTGGTAGCATACCAGTTTCAAATCCCATCCTGATGTATAAAGCTTGACACCAGATGGTTTCATGCTAACAAGAAATTACAAATTTGTGGGTTTTTAATTGTTCCATTAAAAAGTACTGTTGTGAAGTAAATAAGAAATACATTTCCATGGAATACAGCTGAAGATACAGTTGTAAAATAAAGCGAAATGTGAATGAAAACCTTACTGTTGTCTGAAATGTGGCATTTTTTGATTCACCGCCTTCCCCAGGCCACCTCATCGTTTTTCCTGATTGAATTATTTGAAATAAAAATCCTGATTCCTATAATTTAAATAATACAACATGCTGATTAATGTAATACATTGTGTGATGATTACTTTTGCAAATGTGACTGGGTTAAAGGAAAGCCAAAGGGTTAATAAAATAAAAACAAACAAACAAACAAAAAAAAACATTGTGTCTGTGTCATTGAGTGTGTTTCTATAAGACACCGACATTTGAATCTGGAGACCGAGCAAAGAACTTCTCACTTATCAGTTTGTTCAGACATTATCTACTCTGTTGGAGCTTGAATAGATTTGTTGGGGGCAATTTTAGCAGATGAAGGGCAAATCCACTGTGTTTTTGAGCTGAAATATCCATCTCATGCTGTAAGAACTCAGTACTCCTTGTCCAGGCCTTGGGACACAAACTGAGTTTCATCACTGATTTTCCTGATTCTCCAGCATAGTACTTCTTGGAATCCACAATAAAGTTAGCTAATTCCCGTTCTAGATTCTCTCCTTTCTCTCTATTTAGCTATCAAGTTTCCTATTGGTTCTGTTTCTCTGAAGAGCCCTTACTAATTTGTATCATTTCATTAAGTTAATACTTTTGAACATTTCGAGTATCATCAATTTTATTTTTGATGTGGAGCAATCTTGTGTTTTGACCACACTGTGAATACTAGACATTCAATTTAAAAATTACATGAAGGGACATGTGCATCACCTCAAGCATTTTAAAACTATGGAAGTTGTTTTATTAGGATACCATTTTTTAAAATATATATATATATATGTATTTATCAGAAGTAGAACCTTTAATGGAATATTTGTTCCAGAACACCTCTGCTCCATTAAAATTCATTAAGATGCTCGAAGAATTTTGTTTTATGGCTTATATATTTAAATATTTATCATTTCCGAAGCCAAAACCAAAACTTTAAAAATGTAAGCTTAAAAGTTAAAAAAATATATATATATATATCAGGGACCTACACTGTGGCTCAGCGCCAGTGCCTACAATGCTTTGGATCTCATATGGATGGCCAGTATATGTCCCAGCTGCTCCACTTCCAATCCAGCTCCCTGCTAATGTGCAGAGGAAAGCAGCAGAAAATGTCCCAAGTGTTTTGGCCCCTGCCACCCATGTGAGAGATCCAGATGGAGTTTCTGGCTCCTGGCTTCTGAGTTTGGCTTGACCCAGTCCTGCCTGTTATGGTCATTTGGGCAGTGAACCAGCAGCTGGACAATTTCTCTCTCTCTCTCTCTGCCTTTCTTTCCTCGTTCTGTAACTCTGCCTTTAAAATAAACAAATGAGTCTCCTTTAAAAACCTTTTAAAAAGCTTAACCCAGTATGTGCTAATGAAAATAGCATGTATTTTTAAATAAATTATCAAAACCAAAATTGCTGAGAATAATAGCATTTTTCTATAACTTTTAAAATCTCTTAAATATGTCATATTAGAGGATAGTTCTATTCTCATATAATCTTCTCCACTCAATCTAATGTAATATATTGTTTTGACTAAAGCATATAGAAATTCACTCACATAAAATGTGGATATAAAAAGGAGGAATATTTTAATAACGTGAAAAATAAGATCAAATATGAAAGAAAATTAGTAAAGGCAATTTATTCATGAGCTTGCAGTCCAAAAGGAACTCATTTGTGGTCATGTACTTTTCAGTAGGATTCAAAGGTATTTGAAGGAAGAGTTAG